GCTGGTGCACCCACACTGGGTGCATGCACACCTGTGCCTCATTTGTTGCTCACTGAGAGGCTTCCCAGGCCCTTTCTGGATGGGTCCCTGGCATGATATTCTGGATCCTCATGGACCTGCAGATCCAGCTGGACAACAGAGTCCTGGGAGCTGCCTTAAGACAGCTCTTCACTGTTCCTACAGGCTTCCAATTTGTGTAAGGACCTGTCTTAGTCCTTTGGCAGTGCCATAACAAAGCCCCTGAAACTAAGCCATTATGAAGAACAGACGTGTATTTCCCACAGTTCTGAGTCTGGGAGTCCAAGATGGTTGGTGCCTGCTGAGGGCGCTCTACTTCCAACAGGAGCCTTGTTACTGTGTCCTCTGGAGGGGAAGAACAGATGCTATGTCCTCACATGGTAGAAAGGACAGGATTTGGGAGTGGTGACAAGATCCAACTCCCTTTGTCAAGCCTGTCGCAGTCAGTGTTAATCCATTCACCAGGGCTCTGAGAAAGACCACCTCCCAACACTTTGCACTGGGGATTAAGTGTCCAACAGGTGCTTTGGGGGGACACAGAGACCACATCAGAGCCCAGGGCCAGTCTGATTCCTCTGTACCTGTTGCTACAGTTTGGGTGTTTGTCCCCTCCAAATTTCATGCTGAAATTTGATGGTCAATGTCGTATGGGAGTTGAGCCTGGCAGGCAGTGTTTGCTTGTAGGGGGGCCGACCCTTAGGCATGGCTGGGTGTGTCCTGGTGATGAGTGAGTTCTCACTCTTACTATTTCCCAGGAGAGCTGGCTGTGAAAAAGAGCCTTTTAGGGCTTGACTTGGTGGCTCACTCCTGTCAATATCAGTATTTTGGGAGGCCGAGGTGGGAGGATCTCTTGAGCTCAGGAGTGCAAGGCTGCAGTGAGTTGTGGTCACCTGCTGCACTCCAGCGTGGGTGACACAGAAAAAGAAAAGCATGTTTCACAGGTCCTGAGGGCTAGGGAATAATAAATAAATAATAAAAAAACACAAAAGGAGCACCTGGCTCCCTGCCCCTCCTCTTACCACAGCTCCCCTGTGCCTCCCCCATGAGGAAAGAACCCTGATCCCCTCACCAGAAGCAAATGCTCATCTTGATCTTTTCCAGGCATCAGAACTGTGAGCCAAATAAACCTTTTTTCTTCATAGATTACCCAGCCTCAGGCATTCCTGGCATACCCGTCGAAGTAAGACATTTGGGCAGCCTGCCTGCAGCTCAGTCGCCTGGCCTCTACACTGCTGGCCTGGGTCTCCCTTCAGCTCTGAGATTGGTCCTGTTCTGTCTGGTCCTGACCAGCCTCAGACAGAGCCCACTCACAAACTCTCTTGCTCACAGCTCGCCTCTGAGGTTCCCATCTTCTCCTGTGTCGTGAGCATCTTGATGGACGTTTCCTCAGCAGTGGAGGGTGTTCCTCAGCCTCAGTCCTCTGCCTTAAAATTTACCGTCCTAAATGCCTATAAGAGCACAGCTTAAGAGCACCAAGCACATCCACATTGCTGTGTGACCACTACCACTGTCCAGCTTCAGAACTTTTCATTTTCCCAAACTGAAGTTCTGTCCCCACCCCTCTCCTATCCCTGGTGACCACCATTCTACCTTCTATCTCTGTGAATGTGATGGTTCTAGGGACCTCCTGTGGCTGCAACCATACAGTATGTGTTCTTCTGTGTCTGGCTGATTTCACTTAGCACAGTGTCTCCAAGGCTAACCCTTGTTGTGCAATTTCCTTCCTTTTTGAAGTGGACCAACATTCCATTGTATTTTGTCCACTCAATGTCAATGGATATGTGGGTTCTTCCACCTTTTGGTGTCCCATACTTTCTTTCTTTTCTTTTCTTTTCTTTTTTTTTTTTTTTGAGACAGAGTCTCACTATGTCGCCCTTGGTAGAATGCCATGATTTCACAGCTCACAGCAACCTCAAACTTTTGGTCTTAAGGGATCCTCTTGCCTCAGCCTCCCAAGTAGCTGGGACTACAGGCACCTCCCACTACGCCTGGCTATCCCATACTTTCTTGAACTCCTGTTTTTGCTGGTTTTGTTAAAATCATACTCAATGTTTGAAATTGGAGCTGCCAAGAAAAATGTAGACATTTTCAGTATGCAGTCTCTCTAGGCCCAGTACTTCATCCCACAATGATGATTTCTAAGGTAACAATGAACATCAGCATTCTTGTGGCTTTTCAGTGGGTATTAGGAGAGAAAGAGGAAATCTTTGACATCTGAGTGCTGGAGTGAAGAGCTAGATGGGGTAGGCTGCAGCTGGGGTGGCCTTCTCTCCAGGTGCAAGAGCCCCTCTACGAGACTCTGTGCTGTCCTAGGCGCTGGCCACAGGGAAGCCACAGGTGGTCACAATTTGTGAAAATAGCCCTGCCCCCCTAACTGGCTCAGAAGTGGCATCCTTGGTCTTGTTAGTAAAATGACCGGTGATCTGAGAAAGAAAAAGAGCTGACTAACCAGACAGTTGCCATCTTTTAGGAAGCCAAATAGATGCACAGTTGGGGGGCAGTCAGGAAAGCCAAGAAGAGCAGAATCTACTAGAAGCCAAAGCATGACAGACAGTGGAGGGAGAACAGAGCCCAGTGGTGAGGACACATGGACCACTGTGAGGAGCCCTGGTCAGGAGGCCCCAGAGTGGCTCCCAGCCTATGCCCAGCCCAGCCCAGGCTCCTATGTGTACTTCTAATGACACAAACACATGCACACACATGCCTCTTGTGACTAGAGCTCAAGTATGCTTCTGCCACTTCCCTGGGACAGGAAGATGGTGTGTCTGCTCTTGGGGCTATGCTGGACAATGGGATGTGGCCTGTAGTCTGATAAAGGTATTCATACAGCTACTTACAGGGGAAACCCTTCATGCTGCCCATCAGGGCATGTTCTGTGTGGTTCTCTCTCATCCTGCCTCTCACAAGTACAGGGGCACAGAGGCCAGGATGAGAGTTCACTCTGTTGAATGGCTTCCTTACTTAAGATGGTGGTATGGCACCAATCTCACCTACACAGGAGGTCACCAGGAATTTGGGCTAAAACCAGGGGCACCTGGCTGTTCAGAAATGTCAGGTAAGGTGGGGATGAGCTTGCAGATACACGGGCCCCAGCATTGCAGCCTGTGGATGGAAGCAAATCTGTGTGCTGCAGGGACATGCAGGAATCTGTGCACCAAATCCTGGCAGGGGTGTGATGGCAACAGCAGAAGGACCTCTCATCCTCCACCCTACCCCACCCCACCATGCCTTTTTGGTGAGACCTTGCTTCTACTGGGGTTTTAGGTTAAAAAAAAAAAAAACCTCAGCCAGGAACAGAGGACCCCCAGCCCAGCCCAGAATAAACCTGGGGAGTCCTGGGTGTGAGTTTTAATGGAAGAGAAGGCCCAGGTCAGCGCCCTCGCCAGGAGTGCAGGCCTGGGAGTGGGGCCTAGAAGCCAGGCTCTGAAGGCAGGGTCTGCACCTCACAGTCTTATTTGGGGTTGCCTGGCCTTGGGCCCCACTTAGAGCCGGGCATCCACTTACTCGAGCCACTTATGGAGCCAGTGTTGACCAAGTGCCTCCTACGTCCCACACCAATGTGGGCATCACTTGGAGGCCCACAAGCTGGCAGCTAACCAGCCATTGCCAACAACAAGAACATAGCACTCTTGCTGAGCACCTGGGTGGACCTTGTGCCAGCACTGTTGCTGTAAGGACACTGGCGTTTGGTTCCTTTTCAAGGTCTCACAGGCAGCATGTGAGCACAGAGAGGATCTGTCCCTCGCTGCAGGGGCTGGAAGTGGGGAGCTGCTGTCCTGGGCACAGCTTCTACAAGCCTTGGGGCCACATGGTGCTTCACAAATAGGAAACTGAGGCCCACAGAAGGGATGGTCATGTCTCTGGGACATACCACCTGCAGTGTGGTGCTGGGATAACAGGGCACTGCTCCTGCCTCATAAAAGCCATTGCCATCAAGTAACACAAGGACTTTGGTTCTTGTGTCTGCTGATTACTCGACCAATTGTAAAAGTAAACAGGCAGAGCCCTGGGGCCTGGGAGTGGCCCCACACACTGCAGCTTTCTTTCTAAGAGAGGGCACTGAAGCCTGAGGAACCACTGGCCTAAGACCAGCCCAGGGCTGCTAAGGGAGAAGCCAGTCTGGCTACCCAGGGAGTGGGGGCCAGGCCCCTTGCCTTTCCAGCTCACACATATGCAAGGTGGGCTTTGTTCATCAACAGAAAGGCCAGGAACAATTCTGCTGACAAGGTTTTACTAGTTTGGCAAAATCCCCCGATGACCCTTACAAGATAGAGCAACTGGGTGGTTCCTGACAGCCCACTACTCAGCCATCGATGGCACCTGCTGTCCCCAGGTGCTGCTATGTAATCTCGAGGAGTGATTCTTGGCTCCCCGAACTGACCTCCTTGAGCTATTTGGGGGCAGAGGCTGCACCACTGAGGCTGAGAGATGGACAGGAAAGACCTGGGAAGGGAGATACCAGCTCTGTGTGCTACAGTGGGTACAGCTCAGCTGAGGCTTTTCTCTTCTGCAATCCCACTCAGTGACCCTGAACATCTCATGCACCTGCATCCCAGGCATAGAGTACTCCACATGCTCGGTCCAAAAATATGCATTCGCTCTCCACGTGTTAGCCGTGTGGAGCCAGGCCTGGAGGGGCATCACTGGCTCAGCTGCTGCTCTGGAGGTCCCTTCCCAGTGATGGGAATGGAATCCAGATCTTCAGCTTCTTCAGCAAGGAAGAACATTTGGATCCAACACAGATTATTTAAGAGTGTTGGCTCAGCCTACACCCTGCAACCTTGACAGCACCTATGGCACCTTCCGGCCGGCCGCCAGACCCTGGGAGGCCTGAGAGAGGCTGGCGGGTAGCAGAGGCCTCAAGCACAGACATCCTGGGACGTACCAAGCCGCGTCTGGGCCGGGCTGTCACATACTCCAGGGGCCCGCCCCGGAGGGCGTCGGTTCCGGGTCTGGAACCCCGCCCCGCCCCGCCCCCGATCCGGCCCCGCCCCTCCGGGTTGCTAGGGGAAGTGACGTCACAGCGCGATGGCGGCGGCTCCTTCAGGCAGCTGAAGGGGGATTTAGGCCCGGAAGATCCGAGTCCATCCGCGGCGGGGAGAGGGCGAGCGGGGCCGGCAGGGGCCGGAGCAGGGGCGGCGGTGCTCGGACTGTCCCATCCGCCCCGTATTGAGGCGCTGGGAGCGGCGGGGCGGCCGGAAAGCGATGGTGAAAGTGGGGCCGTGAGGGGGGCGGAGCCGACAGCCGGACCCGCAGTAGCGGCAGCAGCGGCGCCGCCTCCCGGAGCTCATACCCAGGAAGCGGCCGGGAGGGCAGGAGCGAGCCGGGCAGCGCCGCCATGGAGCTGAGAGTCGGGAACAGGTACCGGCTGGGCCGGAAGATCGGCAGCGGCTCCTTCGGAGACATCTATCTCGGTGAGGCCCCTCGGCCGCCCGCGCCCTCCCCCAGCCCCGGCCCGCCTGGCCGTTCGAGGACCCCCGGCCCCGGCCACCCGAGCGCGAGCGACCGCGAAAGGAAGAGGCGTCCCCCGTAGGGTCTGCGCGCCGGAGGCCTGGGCTGGGCGGGGGTGGGCTCGGGACTCGCAGGCGCCGCCGCGGGGTCGTGGCCAGAAACCAACGGCAACTGGGCGAGCGCGGCCTGGGGGCTGCGGGCCCGGGGGAGGGGCAGGGTCTGGGGCGGGAGGGGGGTTAGAGGCCGCGGTGGGGAGGATAGGGTCTGGGGGAGAGTCGGGGCCGGGGTAGGGACGGCCGGGGACGGGGGAAAGAGCGGGACCTGGGAGGGCAGCAGAGGGCAGGGCCGGGGTGGCGGGGCTGGAGGCGGCTTCCTCCTCGCGCCTAAGGTCACCGCCGTAAACAAAGGCCGGGCTCTGTTCTCTGCGGCCCGGTCCGGTCCTGGAGGTGGCTCGCCCCTCGCAGGCTGTCCTCCGTCTTGCACACGTGGGGGAAAATGTCAAAACAACCCCAATGCGGTGTGGAGATGGGGAGTGTCCCAGTCAGAAATGGGAGAATGCAGGGGCTGCGTTCGGAGAGCTGCTCTAGGTTTCTGTTGCTGCCCTTGGCGACAGTGGCATTTCCTCCCACCGGCCCATTGCCTCACTGGGTCGTCAGGCTCTGCTCCCTCATTCCTGAATGGAAACTTTGAAAACTGAAAACGTGATCTTTGTTCCGGTACGCAGATGACTCTTGGTCTGTTCAGAGCCCCTGAGCGTTAGAGGGTGGTTGAGTACATGTGGAACCTCAAGCCCTCTAGCTGGTCTCTAGAAATAAGGAAAACTAGAATTAGGGGAACGTAGGTAAAGCCAGGTAGTGTTTTTAGGGCAGATGAGGTAGTGAAAAGGTGCTGCTCTTGAGCTCTCTTTTTTACTCTCAAGGTAGACTTGAGAAGACATTTGGGGTTAGAATGTTCTGAGTTGTGTTGTATTTACAGTGAGAACGTGCACATGTACACACGGTGTAATAAAAGTTTGGCTTAAATATTCAAGTTAGGAATTTCAAAATAAATTTTCTGTGTTTCAGTGCCGTTGTATTCTTCATAAGGTATTCCGGACACAGTGAACTTGAGGAGTTGTAGTCTTGCTAATGGTGTGCCTTGGGGTAAATACGTTCTGTTGTGAGCCACCTCACCTTTGGTGTTTGTGTTTGGCTGGGGGGGGTGTGGGGAGGGGGAAGTGTCAGGAATGGAATCGCACTGTCAGTCAGATCCTCCCATGCGCCTCCCTCCTTCTTCCCTGTTTGACCTGAGGCAGAACTTGGGCCTATGGACTGACAGTGTAGGATGAATCCTAAGTATTTTTGGTGCCTGGTTAACCTTCAGAGTATCCCCATCATGAGCCATGTTGATGCCTTTGAATCCACACTTCTGTATTAATGGCCTGCTGAGTAAAGTACACTTTAGAGACATTCAGGTTTTACTCTTTAAACATTTATATCTGAGTGATCAGCAGATGTATTCTTGACAGTGTTTTGGGAGTCAAAGTGTGATGCTAAACTAAAAAGCCAGTCCATTAGCCACCCTCATGCAGGCTTCAAAAGGTAGATATTTTGATACTTGTTCTCTTATCTGAGACCTTGCCCAACAGCTTTGTGCTTTGCAGAGATAGATGCAGACAGCCATGTTGTGTATTTGTCACCAAGGTGGAAGATGGAATGCTGCCAGCTTGCTGAGTATTGGGCCCTTTGGTCCTCCCCTCGGGCTGGGCACACAGTAGGCACTTGGTACAGTTAGGGATTGGGGGTATTCTCAGTCTCCTCCATTGTTCTGAGGTGGATGGGTTGTGGATCTGACAACTAGGCTTCACAAGCCCAGATAGCCTGTCAGGACACATTTCTAGTTACTTGCATGGGATGGGGCACTGCTGACATTTTTTTCCCATCAGCATTGGCTCTTGGCCCACATTGCAGTCCTTTCATGCTGCCCAGTGAGGGGATGAAATACAAATGTTTGTGTTAGCTCCAGTAAGAAAGGGTAGGTGGGTGGGTCTGAGGAAGATTACAGTTCAGAGTCAAAAATGGCTGACGTGGAGACTATGGCGTGATTGAATCATCTGTACCATAGTTTTTTTCCATTTGTTTGGGCAACTGGTTAGAAGTTGAGGAATTGGGTCTTCATCTTGACATCTGTTTCATGGGTATTCTAGTATGAATGTAATAAAAACCATTCCTGTTGTTGTCACTGGCATTACTATCCTCTTGTTCAGGTAGGAGTCACCTTATTTTGAGCCTAGCCTTTGGGGTTTTGGATTTCCACCTGGGACTTTTTGTGCTTTCGGCAGGCTGGCCTTGAGTTTGATAGTGCCTGGAGGGCAAAGGAGGCTCCCCTGCTGGCCTGCCTTCCTAGCAGCCTGCCAGAAGGCAGGGCTGCATGCTTTGCCCAGCCATATTCACACACTAATCCTCATTGTCCCTTCGGCTATTGCAGAACCTTAGGACTGTTTCTCAACTGTACAGGCTTCAGAAGGTGGGAAACTATGGGACAAAAAAAGTTACTCTCAATCCTCAGTCTGTGATTCTGGATCTGAAAGGCCCTCAGGAGGGCAGACAGGGAGGTGGCCCTGTTTATGTATAGCCTAATGAGAGTCCTGGTGCTGTGGCCAGGGTAGGAGCAGCCTTGGTCCTGTGCTGCCCTCATTCCGTGGCCACCGCTCTGAAGATCGTAGAAGCCGAAGCCCTTTCACTTTTGCTGGCAATGTGCCACTTAGAACCTTCATAACATTTGAAAACAGCCAGTCTCCTTAATGTGGAGCTTGTTTTTCCACCCCAGTGTGATGGAGGTGTCTGAGTAAAGGAGGGCTGTGCAGAGTCAGGCTGTCTGGTGGTGTGCTCACCACTGTGAAGAGAGGGTGAGCCAAGCTTCTGTGGCCTCTTGTTGTCCTTTTGTCTTCTGGAGGTACAAGGCAGGACCCAAAGACCTGATTGGTAGGACAGAGGTTTTCTTGTAGTTGTTGACATTCGCACTTGACCTCATCACACCCAGCTTATTGGATCTTCTGTGCTTGCCTGCTACCTGTGTGGATGTGCTGGCTGACTTCATAATATGCACCAGTGTTTTTGGGGAGCTAACCCTTAGTAACTCTGCTTCATTGCTGATTTTCAGGGTTTTCCCCCCTTACTGACTTTGATTCCTCTTGAAGACACCCTACAGAGTATCTGGCACATAGGAGGGCCCCAGAATCCTGGCTGGCCGTGAGAGAACGGTCCCTGTTCTTACTACAGCTTCCAGAGTTGTCTCCCTACAACAATCAGGGCTGTGGCTTCTGTTTACCTTGGAATTGGTGTTTGACTCAAGCATTGGTGATGAGAACTCATGATACTGCTTCATGCTGCCTTACTAACAGTTGTCCTGGGAAATGTCCTTTGCCCTTCTGTTCAATGTGCCTTCCTATTTTTCTGTTGATAAGACAGTCTTCAATAGGAATTACCAGCATCCAAGTGGGTCGTTAAGAATTACTTTCCTGTCCCAGGACAGAGTTATGCTCTGGGTTAGGTTCACTTAATTTACTATGTGCTTTTGTCCACTCAACTTCTGGGGCATAATTTTGTTTTCTTAGGACAAACATTAACCTATGTCTAAACGTAGACTAACGTGTGCCTGGAGAGGGAATGAACTGTCCCACAGCAGACCTGGGTTGTTGAGCTACACAGAGGAGTAGAGGACACTCAAATAATAGAATGTTTAGTATGTACAGCAACATCTGCATGCTTTTGACTTGTTCTGAACCTGGAACCCATAGGTTAGTGGTATTTTAGGTGCTTTTTCTAGGAGTGCTTCTCAGACTTAACCTGTGATAAAGAACCTGGTTGTGTAATTTCCTATCTGTTGCATACTAGAACTTTCATAAAATTACACAGGAAGGTTCCTGGCATCGCACAGGGTCTTAGCTCCATCATAGGATATGATCCGTACCTTGTCCCAGAGTTGGCAGCAGTCCTTTGCTCCAAGACTGCAACTGTATCACCCACAGAAAAGTAGAGTTAGTGGTATTCTCTGCCTTGGGGAGATGCCAGTCCAACAGGCTCTGTGGTCCCCTGCTGTCCTGTTACTGGACCTTCCAGGTGTTGAGGTACTAGTGCTGTCACCAGAGGTTATACTGCCCCAGCTTTGGGGGACAGGGAGTTGCTGATGTAACTAGTGAGATGAGTCACTGTCCCTCCCAGCTGGTTCAGAGTCCAGGTCCTTAAAGGAACTCAGAGTTCATTCTTCATTTGCACACTACATTTTATTATGAAGTCATTTCTCTTGTAATTGGGTAGATTGTTCCAACTATAGGCAGGAAGAACAAAATGTATTACCTTTCTTTTGAATGCTCCAGAGAGTCTTTGTTGAATGGCAAATGAGGTTTTTGAATCTAAAATGGTCACTGACGGTGATCAGATGGTGGTGGCTCCCATGGGGCTGCAGCATTGGTGGTCACTTTGGGTCCAGGCTTACTGGAAGCATCTCATGCAGGCATCTAAGCAGACCAAAGGTGACTATTTGTCTGGTTCTTGGGTGTTCCTTGGGCATGATTGCTCCAGTTAGTGCTCACTGACCTTGGTCTGCCTTCCATCTCAGAATCTCAAGGGTATTGTATAACCACTAACCTGCTCACCTCCACAACTCCCTGATGAAGTAGATGGCAGGCTTCCCCACTGATCTCAGTTGATGAGAGAAACTGAGTCACCCAGGACTACAAAGGTTGCTTTGTCCAGCACAGTCTCCCAGGGAAGGAATTCTCTTAGGGTTCTGCCTGGGCTGCTGGAACCTCTGTTAATTCCTTCATGCAAATAGCCACACTACAGAAAACAATTGAAGTATTCTATGCTAAGAAGGAACGTTCCCTGTGAGGAGAGAGGAAAGCTAGGTATGTTCTGTGTGAGATTTCTGTTGCCTCACTATGTCGCCCTTGGTAGAGTGCATCACAGCTCACAGCAAGCTCAAACTTTTGGGCTTAAGCGATTCTCTTGCCTCAGCCTCCCAAGTAGCTGAGACTACAGCTGCCTGCCACAACACCCAGCAGTTTTTTGGTTGCAGTTGTCATTGTTGTTTTAGCAGGCGCCAGCTGGGCTCAAACCATGGTTGGTCTGTATGTGGCCAGCGCCCTACTCTCTGAGCTACAGGCATCAAGCTAAAGAGGGAAAGTCTTGAACACAGCTTTGGGCCAGGTTCAAACTCAGAAGCATGTGTGTGTCCATGTCCTTAGAGGGGTGGTGGTTGTCAGATTTGTAGTTTCTTTTTTTTTTTTTT